TTAAATATTGATGGTTGCCATAACAACACAAGATGAAAAATAGAAAACAAGTCACCTTTAATGACTGGCAGACAAATGACTATGATTAGACTATAAGAATACATTAAATTTTATTTTGTCATTAAGTAGTCATCACCTAGATGGAGTCCACTGCACTTGGGACAGTAAAATGATCACAAATTGTTCCTATCCAATATTACCACATTGCCTGTAAAACACCGCCACGTCAGCAGGTGATAAAATACTCAAAAGTATACATACAGTGTAATGTCACAAGTAATGATTATTCAAAAAAAAAATGTATTCAATACATCAATAATTGATGGTAGAGCCCATTTATAATTGAAAGTGATATTGACAAATTGTTTTGAATGTTTGTCATAGAGCCTTACTCAAAAATTAAGTAGCTACAGCATTCTCCACAGACTGAAATGGATAACAGAAAACTTGCGAGTATGTTAACGTGTACCATGCTATCAATTTAACATTATGTCTGTAGTTATGACATATCTCGTATATTTTTATCACTATGAAATATATCTGGCAGAATATCATAATCAGTATTATTAATGTTAATCACTATTGGTAAAGCAGATTATTATGCGTGAAAAGTTACATAATTACTAGGGAAACACATAGAAAAATTTTTAATTTTTGCCTGGCTGACTCCACCTGAAATCAGATTTTTACAGGGCAATGACACCAGACAAACTCGTCTCACCAGAACAAAAAATAAAACAACAAGAACACAGACTTGTGACAGCTCGAACAAAATCATACAGTTTTAATCCATTTGGACTTATTTCTGATTTAAATTTTATATTTAAGCTACAAATGCTCTCTATAATGCTGTCCCTTTTGGAATACATTTATTTGATACAATGGCACAAAAACATGAAGTTTGGTTTAAACCAAACAAAATATTCCGGAGACTGAACATCCAGTATATGTTCTCATTAGTTGAATGGGGTGGTTTATCAATTGCATCAATGTAATGTCAGTGTGCCTTGGTTCTTGTACTTTCTTACCAATGACAGTCAGTAGCAGACATTTCCTCTGTCTTCAAAATCAAAATTCAAGTTACTAAATTTCTTGGGCAACTGTTTTAGCACATCTTGAATTTTCAAGGTGAATGTTCCGGCGAAGCACTCTATTGGCATCCACTATTGTGGAGGGAGGAATGTTCGAATGGAGCAACACCGTGCAGGCAAACGATGGTTTTAGCAGTGATGTCATGCAAGACAGTCAGATTGACTTAATTGATCTAGAATAAATCTATATGACATAAAGAAATAAGCATTAATTCTGCGATGGTTTATTTAATTTTCGTTAAAATATGATATCCAAATTAATAACGTTATTTATGTTGAAAAAGATCCAATCATCCAGTACCTAAGTAAAGTCAAGCCATTCATCTGCCAGATTTGTGTTAACTCAGCAATTTTCCCACAATTCAATGCATTCATGGCATGACAACCAGCTGCCTTTAAGAGATTGAGTCTGATACAGTAAAATGTTTTTTCACTGTTTTTGTTTTGTTTCAATACAGACACATGTTCTGATTTACCCAGTATCTACTAAGTATCAGTCTCTAATGCAACTGAAATCGCATATTTAGTAGAAACGCCCTGCACCAGTTCTATCACTAGTTCTACAATCCTGACATTTATATCATTAATTAAAGAGTATCCTGACATTATTAGTATACATCAAATGTGTGTTACCAATGATTTTTCCTGAGGAGCAAAGTTATCAATATCAACAACGGCAGGTTTGAATGAAATTCAATAGGTGCAAACTATTTCAAATGCTACTTCCATCATATCTGAAGCAATCCAATTGAAGGCAGTGCTTTACTCAGCTACACTGTCCAGTTTAATTGATCATAGTGAATCAATACATTTTTTTTAAAGCTATTTAAGAAAAATCATTAATTTTATGTTACCTGGTATTATTGGATTGAGGTGAGCTGTACAATTTGTTGCTATGTTGATGGATGCCTCTTACAGAAATGAGTACCAAAGCTATAAATTCTAAGTACCTTCACGAAGTGCAAAATTTGTAAAAATGATCACCCTAACGAAAGTACCGGCACACAATTTGTCTCCTGCAAAGTTACAAAGGGCGTTTACAGTGGATACGGTTGAATTATCTTAAATAAGTAAAATTGCTACCTGTAGTAAATTTATGGGACAATGACAGGGATAAGGTGTACAAAATGACAAATTATCTTCTATCGGAATCCAGTTCAGCACTTTTACCAAAGTTTTTACTGAATGGCAGCTACAACCTTGACATGTCCATAAAACAAAAGACTGAAAATATGATCCTGATCAATGGCTTATATAAAGTTATTTTTTTATGAACAAGTCACTTTTTCTTTACAATACAGTAAGATGTAGCGGTAGTTGTGACTGCATTACATCACACATTCCTGCATATATGCTAGCAATATCAATCAGCACTTGTTGTGCATGTAAATTTGAACACAGTCACTCAAATAGGGATATTATCGTCTATTAAAGTGAATTAAGTTATCAGATGTTGAGAAATGCGTATTATTCTACAGAATACAAAATTAACCCCATTTCCCTACAAAAATGTAGGTGCAACATTATCACGTTATTATGTAATTTCCCATAATTTTGTGGCAAATTTTTGACCGAATGTACCTAATTTGCAATTGGCTACAAGTTCTGATTACAATTTTGGGGAAAAATATTGAAAATAAACTTAACTATAATAGTTTTTTGAAAATAGGAAAATGGAGATACTGTCAAAGACAGTCAACAATACAAAGCTGGATGACAGCGGACAATCATTAATATCATTAGTTTATGCTTAGCCAATCTTCACTTGATAAATGATAAACTACCTAATATTATTAAATAAGGACTAGAAATTCTCGGTATCTACTGGCTAGAAACTCCATTCAAACGCATTGGCACTCTTCCAAATACATGTAATAAAATATTTGCTCTACATTATCAGTCTTTACATTTGACCTTGAAATTGGATGTCCCCAAATAACTGAAGTTCAAACCCAATCTTATCAGTTTTTTATTTCAATTTTTTGCCCAGCCAGCCTTCCAATAAAAAAATATTTCAATCTAAAGCTGTACTGTTCACTCGTAAATATTAAATCGTAAAGAGGGTCTACATTTTTCGTGACCATGATTTTATGTATTGTGACCATGACATATGGTATGGGTGATCTATCCACTCACTCACTAACTGTCAAACAAGTTACCCTTATGTATGGGCTGAATATGTCCTGTGTCTGGTGATTGATTAATTTTGGAATTATAGACTAGTTAAAAATATTTTTTTTTTATTATTGAATGCACGCTAGTGTCACGTATTGTGGTATATTTGAGTGAAAATTTAGCTTAGGGTTGAATAGCTTCTGTTTAAAAATAAGTATCGCAAAAACAATACGCAATTCATTGATGACGCACACTGAAACAACTGAAGAAAAACAGTTCTGGACCCTAGGTAACTAACAGTGACAATTTGTAGTTACCTAGGTTACCACTGATTGATAAAGAGACTGCCTTGTTTCCGAGGGAAACATCCACTTGGAAATCCTTCAACAAAATCGAAGAAGAGTTGTACAGTATTTGCTCTATTAGAAACTTATCTCCAATAGTAGAGCATATACACCAAATATCCCATTTTTTTTACCGGTATACTAAATCCATAAAATATTACTTATTTTGACCATAGAAACACTTTACGTAAGTGTATGGGCTACTAATAGGGCAAATATGGTAGTTAGATTTCAAGAAAAAATATGACCTGGCAGCTTTCGTCTTCCAGTGTTTTTTTTTTTTTTTTATTCTACTACAGTGTTCACAGCAATATTATTACAAATGATGATGCACCTGCCGATAACATTTTTTAAAACCATATAAATACTTGTGGCAGTATATGTACAGTACTGATTAACGGAGAGAATTTCCTTTATCGAACTTGGTTTGATAAATATACATCAGGAAATGAAAAAAAAGACCCGAATTGTTCTCAGCAATAGTGATAGTGAATTTGTTTGGATTGTAGTCCACCCACGCAGACAGGTACACATCAATTTCAGCTAATAGTTATGCGTGACGCATATATTTCGCCTACAGTTTCGGACCAAGTCGCTGCACAGGGACTGACGACCCTGGATGGACGGGAAAGCTGTTTGCAAGAAAGATACAACATGCACGCAATGCGTTATTGGCAAGGAGGAATCACAAACTTACCACAACAACAACGTATTCGCCACTCACGCTATCCGACAATGTGGCAGGCTCAACCTCGAATGCACTTTCGCCGGTGCTGCCATCTTTCCGTCGCCGTATTGACAAGGTTGAACGCTTCGACAGTTCTTCCAATGGTCTGAAATTTCTAGAGTGAGCCTTCAGATCTCCATTGGTAAACCTGTCATCGGGATTTTGTCCGACGATGGCCGAATGTCCTGGGACGAATCCGTTGCTATTTGACGAAACTGGAACAGACCCTGATTTCGAAACGAGACGAAAATAAAAAAATATACCGAAAACAATTTTAATATCGCCACCTTCAACATGCGTCAAAAAATCTAGAAATATTAGTATAAAATAATCGATAATGAATAAATTGACGAACCTGCTTCCTGTATCGATAAAATGCAAAGTATACCAATATTAAGGGCTAGAACTAGCCCACCTCCCAGGCCATTTCGGCCCATCGTTCACTTCAATTTTGCAATGGAGTTGGCAATCATTTTAATGCACATGCGCAGTGTGAGTGTGACACGTGATGTTCTGTATATGCACCTCCACCTTAAAGAAAGGTAGTTCTCAAAGGAAAATGGCCTAATAGCTGAACGGAATGTGTAATTCATGTATATTTCCCCCTCAGAGGCAGTCACATACAACAATTTTCTTGGTCTGATGAATTGATTGAAATGTTTGTAAATGCAAAAGAACACAATTACTCATTCTCTTGGCGTAGGAATATAATATCGGTTTCCCAGTGACACTTTTCCCGGATGTAATGACGTCAATCATTATTTACAAATACGCGTTTACTTTTATAGGTCGATATACGATATCCTTTCTCTGTGAATTGAAAGAGGAAAATACCAGTTGGACTTTCGTGACAAGTAAATGCAGCGGTGAGCGTGTTCAACGACGAACACACGTTTCGGTTACCGCCTGTTATCAGAATTACTCATGCAGTTATGAAATGATGGGGGGTACGCACGGTTATGAATGAAATACTGAGAAACGGTCATGAATGGTGCGGTGTTTATCACGTAAAGCAGCAACGCCCTCTTCGACTTCTACGTTACGCACGGGATGTAAAACGCGGAATAATGAAATGCGCGTAAAACAAGTAATTTACCGTACACGTCACCTTTTGTTTTGTCAAAATTTACATAAAGTTTGTCTTGTTTGTTACACCATGGGGCTGACACGTGTCATGGTGACATGTTCAACCCCATCGCATAAATGGACGAAAATAACTCCCGAGAAGGACTCTGGGCAAACTTGAAAACTGGCCAAGGTCGTATTAGAGATTTTCGTCCGGGGCTTCATGACACGCTTTAATTTGTTAGGCTTGAACAACCGTTTTAGACCCCTTTTGATATTAAATGCTGAAGTTGTAGAACCTTTACTTTGACATACTATTACTTTCCGATTTATTTGTAGTTATTAGACCTTTTAAATGTTTAGTTATATTTAGTTGTACATATACGTCTTTTATTTTATTTTACACTATTTTTACCTTACTGTACCCACAGCAGATTACAGTTGCATATAAAACTATTATTAGTATTACATGTATATACAAGTATAATGAAAAGAGCGGAAGAGTCTCGGGCATGTTTAGTCTGTGAAATATTGCATAGTGCCAATATATAAATCCGACTCAAAACATAATCCAACAGACTACAGAGGTGTTGATATCTCAAGCTGTCTCGTAAGACTATTCACTAGCATTTTGAACATTAGACTGATATCATACTTAGATATAAATAACCTATTATCAAAGCAGCAGTTTGAATTTAAACAAAAAAAAGTCTCGAACTACAGAGAACTTATTTTATGGTAAAGACCATTAATATAAATTAATATATGTACCGTGGAGAAAACGGAAATTCTAAAATCATAGACATTAAGAGAGCTTTTGGCAGCGTTTGGCATGATGGCCTGTATTTAAAATTACAAGAAAATAATATTACCGGCAACATGTATAACATAATTAAAGAATACGTAATATAAAAGATAAAAATAGACACGCTTTACCTCATCTGCAGGAGTTAAACAAAAATGCAATTTAAGCTTTATTTTTTTTTAATCTTTTCGCCGCATAAATATGTGACCCACCATTCCTAAAAAAAAACAGCCTTCTCTACGTCACGGTTGATCATATAGTCATGTAAAAATATAAGACTAGTACTGGTTTGCAAAATTGTCTAGATAAACCCCCCAAACACAACAACATTGCAATTAAAAGACAATACGAAAAATAAAAAATATTATATTTAATAAATCAAACAGGCTGCTAAAACATTATATTTTGTTTTTGAAGGAAAGAAACTTCGGTTATCAGACCACAAAATGGGCGTTTTAAATCAGCTATGGAAAATATATAAATAGACAAGATGCCGTTAGTGTTCTCCCTGAAAGAAAAGAAAATGGGCTTAATGATAGAAAACTAAACATTTTGAGTTATCACTATCTCTTTTTGATAAATTAATCAGATAGCTCTGGTTGATGCAACCACGGTTACTATCTCAGTAATCGTCATGCAGCTCACATCGCTATAATGCTATATTTGCTTCCGTCGGACATTTACTAGAACCTCGACCCCAATCAGTCCGTCAACTACCGTTAGCGTCCCCGTAGCCGTACTTTAAATATCAGATAAATTTAAAGAGATCTTTTTATTTTTATCTGAGGGTCACCTAATTGAAAAAGAATGTGATAGTTGGCTTGCATCTAATATTGCTGACTTGTCTTCACATGTGCCATAACCACAAAAATGTCTGTTTAAAAACTGGTTCATTGAAAGTTAAACTTATTGTTATTACGATGTCCAGCTACCATTCAATGTTTTACGTATTAATGATATTACTGTTTACAATTACCTCTGTTGTAGACGAAGTGATTTTCAAAGTCAGAAAACCCCAGTTTTATAGAGTCAATGATCACACATCGAAAGTTTGTTTGTGTGGTTCTATATAATATAGACATCTTTTCGGGCCCAAATAGTAGTACGAAGGACATTTATACAACAGATGAGTTATTATATAGGGCGTCGTGTGTCAAGATTACATCAGCGTTGCCGTTTCATTAGTACTGCGACAATAGAGCAACGCGTCAACAATCACATGAATCGTCTGGGCAAATTGATTCATTGATTCGTGGTGACTAAGGCTACATGTATATATCATTTTGCGTCACTTGTTTCAATTCATTTTATTCTTAAAATGAAGCTACATTCTTGATACCAGTCCCTTTGAAATATAATTTCAATCATATGTTGGTTTCTCAATACATGTACATAACCGAAATATACAACAGCTTATAACAACCTGGTTGATATATTATTCAGGGATATCGTTTTCGTTACCCGCCGATATTTAAACAGCGCCCCCTATTGACTGATTCACGAATAACAATGTATATTTGTTTCTCTGATTCCACTGTCCAGTGGGTTTATGTGTTTATGCACTATTGCAATGACTAGACATTGACTGCCATATTAGAGCTCATCCGGCGACAGAACGTCTCGTGGCGGTGTCCGGGTGATGACACATGAACAAAGTCACTACACGCGACACTTTTGAAGAAAGTCGGCCATAAATCATGATCGCATGAAACTACGGTTTCGTAGTGACATGAAACAACATTCTTTGTGTGTTACAGATATTGCTATTTTACTAGTACAGTTCCGTAAAATGCAATGTTAAAGCAAAATAACATTTGTTTATCACTTTTCACACACATGCTTTAATATTTTCATCATTACGGTCATCTACGGTGATCACGACTACGGTGTTCTTGCTGTGGTGGAATTCATTCATTGAAAACCAAACCATAATTATAAAAAATACTATACGTGTGTGCGTTCTGTGTTATTGCATGTATACACAGAGCCGAGTAAACGCAGCTCGAAGTAATAGCCTACTAAAATGGTTTGTAGAATGCTTTCCGAGGTATACCACTATTCTCGGGGGCGGACATCCGGACATTTTCTACCTTCTGGCAACCCTCGCGGTGAAAACAAAGACCAAAAACTCGCAGGAAACGGTACTTTGCGATGGTTGTTGAGAGTCCCCTGAACAGTGTAACAAGATTAGCCCTACGTGTGTAACATATATGAATTTGGTTGTTCGGGAATACTTCAAAGTTGAGTTTGTGTTGTTTTCTCGAGTTTTCACCGGCTCCACCGGCGTTCCACAGCAGCGCGCACAAAGCCCATAGAAATACGTGGTACAATACGTCTTAGCAACGTAGAACGTCCGTGACGTAGCTCCGCCCCCGAGGATACATGGTAAACGTATTTGTTGGAAAAATGAAAACGCCAACAATTCATCGATATATAATTATGTTTTGTGGATATATTATGTTGGAGTCATTTTTTCAAAACAATTTATCGATTTTAGTGACTGGCTAACAATCAACGCTTGTACATTGAATAAATACTTGTAAGACAAGATGCAAGTGGTCCCAGCTGACCTGCGGGACATCACTGATATAAATTGTTGTAGGATTTTTACGAAATTAAATTTTCTCCAAAATCGGAGTTGAAGTCGGTGGAAGATCGGAGGGGTTCCAGAAATGTTATGAAATTCTCTTGGTCAAAAATACCGTATATTGCAAAAAAAAAATATTGCTATGAACTGCATAAATTCGTTGAATATCTGCAATCTTTTCTTTCTATATGCCATCTATATAATATCAGCAAATACATGGATTGCTGATAGTATCTGCCATCATTGGTCTACATGGTATGTACATCAAGTTATGGCACGAAAAGCATACGTCATTTGTACATGTATTTGTGCCTAAGCTAAGCAGGTCTGGAGTATTTTTTATTGGTTGTGTATCTGCACTTTTTAATTCAATCATGATTCGTGACTGCATTGTGAATATTTTTAGTGATTGATTCAGTAACCTCTTACAGGTCAATAAACTAACGTGACAATGACGTCACAAATTGGGTTTACAAAATCCATATGATTCATCCAACATGGAAATAAAAATCGTGATTTCTTGAACCGATCGTTGCTATGGAAATTCAGCTAAACTCAATTTATGGAATTGAGAAAAAATAGATAACCCTACTAGTAAGTAAACATGCAAAATAATATTATTACTTTCATGGAATATACGACAATTAAAACAAATGTGGACTGTATGTAAAAGTATGTGCCGTCGATGCATTTTATATAGAAATTGTAAAATAACATTTGGCATACTAACCGTTGCTATGGCAACGGAAAAATGTGAAATCCTAGTAATTAGTCATGTGAGGATAGAGTCGGTGTATAATACACTGAACATGTTTATATTTCTTGGTGGTGTTTATATGACTCGCGTACGTAACTGGCTGTCACGCTAGCGCTGTGTGATTCAGGTCGGCGTGGACGGTTTCTGAAAACCAGGTGAAAAAATAAATAATTTGCGTATATTGCTTATAAAGAGGTTTCTTGGCTCACGGTGGTTGCAGCTCCAATGCAAAAAACTCCACACCAAATTTTGCAATATTTTCCTGAACGTAAATACACAGTAGCAGGGCCCCCAATCTAGCTTGTGAAGATACCCTCTCGTTGTAGAACGTACTAAGAAAATGATAAAATATTTAATGAGGATAGGGGATATGCCGGAAAATAAACCAATGAGCAAACCATATAAGTTTGTTTTGAAAAATGCACAACTTAGGTACACAAAATTGATTATCTGGTGTGACTCAAATATTATGATGAATGAACATTGAATTAAAACACAGTGAAGCCTTAATAAAAGACATTTGTAAAAAAAAAAAAAAAAAAAAAATTGACGCTCAATGCCAGAAGAGATGTAAAGAATTTATGCACAATGATGACAAAGGCGCAAACAATATAAATAAACAGAGAATGTACAGAAAATTAAAAACAGACTTTTCACTATAGAGAATGTTCAGTTTGTGAAATTAAAGAAATTGAAAATGAGCAACACTTCTTGTTTGTCGTGTCAGTTATACGCTGAGGAAAGAGAAAGTTTGTTCAGAAAACGCAACATTAATCAAGACAACAAAAACAATGAACAGTTATTAATAAATATGATAAACATTAAAGTTAAAAACATTGTAAATGATGTGGCGAAACACAATTATAACTGTTTTAATATTCTTTATGGGCCGGGTACGGCTTTACCGGGGGGCAGCAAAAGCAGTATCCAGCAGTATCATATACCCTATAGCTCTAATTACAATTGTATGGTGCGACCTCAAACACACGACGTAATTTAGAATGACACCTTTTGTTTTGATTGATGAAATCCGGGCTTCTGTATGACACTTTGTTCTAGTAGAGTGACTGTGGAAAAACCAACGAACAGAAAAAAAGGCTTCTTAAATGTTCATGAACCAGATTTACAACACATTATTTTTGACAGTTTTATTACAGAACTGTTGCTAAAGTTATTTTTAGTTATTGTGTGTTTGTTATTGCACTTTAACCAAGCACTGTATTACCATTTTAGCTCTATGGTATTACGTACGTTTCTAATTAAACGATCATATCCTATTTTAGCCCGGGAAAGGGCCAACATTCTAGTTTCCCATAATAATGTCAAGCTGCAAGTAATTATAGAATAACACAAGTTTTTATTGTTTTCTGTGGTTACGTGGGTCATGGAGCTAAAAATGCCCTTTGGCTTCACGCATAACCTTTTTTTAGCTCCATGCATGAACACACGGTTAGTAACCGTGATCATGGAGGTAAAATGATGAACACACGGTTAGTAACCGTGATCATGGAGGTAAAATGATGAACACACGGTTAGTAACCGGGATCATGGAGGTAAAATGATGAACACACGGTTAGTAACCGGGATCATGGAGGTAAAATGATGAACACACGGTTAGTAACCGGGATCATGGAGGTAAAATGATGAACACACGGTTAGTAACCGGGATCATGGAGGTAAAATGATGGAACACACGGTTAGTAACCGTGATCATGGGAGGTAAAATGATGAACACAAGAGCCACATAACGCCCCCCCCCCCCACTCAGGATTCATAGGGGGCCGCATGCGCGTTCCCATTTTCTCGGGAAAGAGGGTACTTTTTGACGATCTGTCTCGGGAACATTTTCCCGAGAAAATCGTAGAAAAGGGGGTATTTTTTGCTTGTTTTCCCGAGATTCTCAAAATAGGGGGTGTATTTCAAAACACTTCCCGAGATATACAAAAAAAGGGGGGTTTAAAAGGAGTTCTAGACTGAAAAGTTCCCTAGATAGGGGGTGAAATTCATCGGAAAAGCCCGTGAAGGGGGGGGGGGTAAATTTTCTTCTTTTCCCTAGATAGGGGGGGGGGGGTAAAAAAATGAGGGGACAAGCATAGCCCCCCCTAAATATAGGGAGTGGGGGGCCGGGACATAACGTTACCCACGGCTTATTTATACAGCACCTCAGCCGTCGCGTCGCGTTGTGTTTGGGTACGATAAGAGTCACATGCGACGCAAACCACGCGTATAAAGTATATATAAAATCTTTTTCAGAACCGTCACGTGTTTAAATTACTTACTAGTATCTGAAATTCGAAAGTGTGCTGTGCGACGATTGGCGGTTTTTTTTTCTAGTTAATGAAAAACAAATATTGGTCGGCAAAGATTCTCCATTTGTTTGCCGATCTTCTAGGTTCAATCACAACAACATTATGCGATGAAGATTGCGTACATAAAGAAAATGCGAAATCGAGTTCTTGTTGCGACCTTTGGCCTATATTCGTGGATATGATCTTCGGATAAGATCCGGGAAGACAAAAAGATAAGGATAACAGTATTATCTGTTGATGACGTAGTTGGCATTTTATCACGTGACATCATTCCTTGCCGTGCAAGCCAGGTAAAGACAGATTCTTTCATGTATACGACAAGCACACATGATCTCATGTACTGAACAAATGAATTACTGGTATATACCACCGTCCCTCAATGTGTATATACCGTTTCATTTTCCCGCCATCTGAATAACCAATCATTGCTTCCCCAGTTCTTTAATTATGAATGACGTCACAATCTAATATAAGGTCAAAGTTGGTTCAAAGGATGAAAACAAAGCACAACTGAAAGCGGTTTTCCGATGTGCAGATGTCGATAGTGGTACAATTGTATCGTTCCTAAATATTGTTATATTTTTGCCGATATCTTCGCCATAAGACTGTACAAATGACGAGTCCGATCACTGTCGTAAGTCTAGTATTCATTTTGTTTTCATTGTGTTGTCTGTTTAAGTTGAATTTTGTCCAATTTTCAAAGACTCAAAACGTTTCGCCACGGGAAGGCCGCTTGGTAAGCAGCAATATTCACATGAAACGAGCCATTACGTATTTAATATTAACATGTCGGATAACGGAATACTAATCAGTAACATACGCTAGTCTCGATTGAAATGCCACATAAGCACTGGAATCCATCGAATGTTATACAAATACCGGTGTTTAGTGTGTTTATTCGAGGTCGAAACGGAAGGTGCATGCCTTTATTTGGCGCCTACGCACATAAAGCGAATGAGTCATCATGTAATTTTTTTACCGAGTTAGTATTGAAATTGTTGACTGACAATTTCCTTCATTCCAACGTTTAATCACACAAGGTGAAAGACTCATGCATGTTATCTTTGAGGGGCCCTGTGTTATCGCTGCTTTATGTGACGCAGTGTTTTTTCTCATCTGCGCTGACGATGTAGGATAATGTTTCTCGTCATGTGACTTTGTTTACAAAATCGAGCGAAAGCAGCGACCACTCGCAGAGGCGGGGGTACTGTAAACGTATACTTCTGTATTATTGTATTCGCAATTGTGTATTGTTTCAATCTGTGTGTTTATAAGTTTGGGAAAACGGAATGCTAATTTGGAGCATTGTAAACCTCGGTCGCTGCCCTTCACCGTTGTATATGAGTCCATCCACCACGACCTCGATGTCCCCTTTGGTGAAATGGAATGTGTCGTCAGCTGTGAAGAACAACAAACGTCGTTTATTAGGCTTCAGCACAGCTTTGGTCGTGATCTTATGCCCCATGAGTTGGCCATTTTTAGCATGTTTACTACTAATTATCACATAATACTGTTTATAGTAGTTTATTTTAAACATTTAAAAACAATAAGAAAATTAGAATTAATTAAAATTAAGATTACGATTATGTGACCATAACAGTAAGCTTTGTTAGTAACAAACATTTTACAATGCATTTTACAGCAGCCTGGGGCCAAGATGGTGATAGTTATCAAGAACAGACATTCACCTCTTCTGTAGTGATCACTCATTTAATTTTAATAATTCATTTTTTAGGCAATTATAGAAATAAGTGGCATCTCCTATCATACCTTATATCTTACCCCACAGACAGTGCTTTCTAATCACTCACCTTTTTAAAGTGTCCCAAATTAGTCTAATCTTTCAATACAACATTTGCACAGCATAACAATATATTGGTCGCCAGAAAAAATAATTATCAAAACAACTACATATATAACACTTTCTCCAGTGTCTTTGATAAAACAGGACAATGACCGCTGTTAAAATCCACAGAAGAACACCCCCCCCCATAGTTGTATTTAAACCAATACAAATGTCTCCTTGAACCCAGGTCATAGTAACCCTCAGGATAAGATTGATTTGTACTATTTACTATTTGTACTAATGACTCAACACCCAATATGGTTTGGTATAAGTTCAGCTATTGTAACTTATGCAATTGCAGAGCAACTCTGAAATCAGATTGGCATGTCAAGGACGGTTGACGCTGTGAATTACCGAAAAAGGCAATTTGTATTGGTATTAAAGCGTCACTTATTTTACATGCATTGTATATGTGTCCCTTATCAAACTCCAATGCATCACGACAACCAGCGCTTTAAGTATTTTATTTGATTTGGCATAAACTACAAGTAAACCAGTGGGGAACGTTTTTTTACTGTTTGACCTCTTTATTTGAAATAGCAAAAAATAAATGCTTAAAAAAAACAGTATGAACAGTACATTTGATTATTACTACCTGCCAGCCATGTTTATATAAACACTCTCCAAAATTTATTACATTCAAAACATATGTATTGATCTTCTATCAGCAGACATAACAACAGTAGATCTTTTTTTTTATTTTAGAAATCTCATGAACATTATCTCTAATCAGTGTTTACTTGATATATTTCTCAGGTTATAAATTACATGTCTGAGACATAATAAATGTTTATTTGCAATGATTTATCAAGTTGTTGTTTTTGTTGTGTTAGTATTTGCATGGATTAATATATATTTTTAGCCATTTTGGGTACTAGTATTTAGTTGTTTATTGGACAGTATTACTGGTATGCCAGTAAAAAATTGACTTTATGAGACTTGGGTGATGGTACAGTAGTTAGTGTGTCATACCAGGGGTTAAAAGTTTGATTTCCCGAGCCGTCTGTCCACTCAGCAGTATAAATCCGAACACAAAGTATTTGGTTTGGAAGACTAGTTTAGTTTACACACATGCACTTGCAATAGCAGCTAAGACGAGAAAAGTTAGGAGAAACAGCAGTAACCTTAATGTCCGGAAATCAACAAAAATATAAAAAAAAAAATTATTTTGTCTACATATGGATCACGCAATATTATTATTCTTTATTGAAATTATATAAGTTAAAACATGTTATAATTGTTTCCCCATTTTAATTGTATATATGTATTATATGTACCAGGTATGCAAATTAATTTAAAAATAATATTCAAGTGACATACTTAACTAAAATTAGAAGTTTAAAAATTCCTGGACTATCAGTGACATCATCTCAATGTAACAAAAAAACAATTAGATTTAAGTTGGTTCGCAGGTATTTGACCTATTAATAAATAACCAGAATGTTTTGTTTCAAAAGTGTTACATCATTGTTGATTTTATAGTGACATGTCATTGACTTCTGGGTTATTTTACCTAGTACAAAATATATTTTTTTGAGAAAAACTGTATGAGAATATGCAAAAATGGATTTATTTCATAAAAAAAATAAATAGTGCTTGTTAGTTTTCCCTAATAAATTTGAACAACCATAGGTACTCACTCATCTTACAAACTACCAGTACATCTGATTTTTTCACCATATGCACTTGGCCGGACGAAGTTCTAGGCATTTCACGTATTTTTTGTGCAAAAATAGTTTGGTAATGCATACCTTTTATCTAAAATTTTTGTGTAATGGAATGCTCCATCAACCTTGTGAAATAGATACAATCAAGAGATAAAGTGGATGGAATGAAATCCTAGGGTATTAATGTGAGGGTATAATATATGGTTACTACATGAATCGTTTCAAATTCAGGGGTTTCATTAAGAGCCGGCCACCGGCCAAATGGCCTGCTACAAGCCCAAATTGGCCGTCTACTTTCTGGTCTTTTCCTGACCGCCTGTTGTTACAGGATGATGACCTGCTATTAAATGCATTTGTGAAACCCCTGTTTCATACAGTAATGAGAGGCGTGTAATGAAAATTCTCCATCAACTGCTTCAATAGAATGATTGAACTGCTTACTGTCCATTCATGGTGGGTGAAATGGTATACACCATGATGAAGGTACTGGAGAGTAATGGAATTCTCCATCTTTATTTGAATGACTACCCATAATGAGAAGCCTTATAAAGATGATGCATTAAGTGAGAATTAATTTTAATTTGCTGCTGTTTTGTTACGACTACTTGATAACATTGTACATGAAGGCATACATATTTTAATATTTGTTAAACTAGAGCAAACATCACATGGCATAATATGTTAGTGAACGCATATTAGTGAATTGGTTTAAAACTTGCCATCATACATTTATTGAAAAATATACATTTCACATTCAGAGGACACATTCATTACTGTTTTTATTAGCTGTGATCTCCTTCATACTTTTGAGACTCAGTGGTTGTCATGGCGATGGTCATAATTGTGTGAAAGGTATTATCAAGGATGTGTAAGTACAGTACATACAAATAAAGTCAGTTGGCAATTTTAAAATTCAAATGGTGAAAAATTATTTCACTTTTTTCACCAATGTCTGAAATGAATTTTAAAACATAATTCATTTAATAAATATTTAAAAAAAATGGTTTATGTTAACATAACTCATTGAACCAAAAACATATAAAAAAAATTGTTGATGAGTGTGTGAAAAATTGCTTTATAAAGGCTTCAACTCTTGTTTGTATTAAATAAACCCCAGTTGTACATGTAACGAACCTGTCAGTTGTAAATTGCATTAGCTTCTTTATTCTATTCAATATGCTGGTATAATATTCTGGCATGAACGTTTGAATATTAATCATATTTAAATTTATATAATTTACATTTTATAACATGCTTGTATTTGCTGCACACATCCACTGTATAAATATGACAAATTTTGTGATTTTTCATTTGTTAATTAATGCTATCTTCTCTGTGTTTAGTGGATAAGTAATTGGTTAAGGAGAAAATCGTATTGTGAAGCCCCTTACTCCAACACTGTTTTACTCTTAGTAAAAACCTTGCATATGTATGAATGAATAATATATTGAAGCATCTGTTGGGTCAATGATATAGATCACCAGTTTCCTCTTTTCCTCACAAATTCACAAAATAGTCTCATTTATAGTCTGCACTTTCTTTCAAAAGATTGGGACAAAAATAGCCAAATTTTTTGAGTGAAAACTGAAAGTTTACTCAAATTTTATCTGTTGGCTCCAAAATTAGAGCTCATTCATTTAAAGAAATATTAAAGAATATGAGAAAAAAGTGCAGACAAATTTGGGCGAGAAAGTCTGGTGGTGAAAAGGTTAATAAAACAAAATATATCAAAACTTATCTACATTGTAAGAGTCTATGTAAATATGTATACAGAAAGAAGATATTTGAAAATGATATGACCCCCACCCCCCAATGCAGTTAGATCATTGACATCTAATTCTCTTTACTTCCTTCATTCGTGAAATCTCACATTATCTTTATATGGTATTTATGATGAATTCTATTCTATTCTGTTGTTTATATGACAAATAATTCATTGTATGATTGTTCGTTTGTTTGCTCTACACAGATCAAAAGTGTTGGGCCAAAATTGGTACCATTCTTCAAGACGACCTGCATCTACTTCGTACTATGGTTACCAGAACCATCAGTTCTTGCAGCTGTGGTGAAGATTCTCCCAATTTTGTCATTAGGTGGATTCATCCTAATACACAGAGTATCCTTCCCCAGCCTGCACCGCTTCTCGTATGGCATCCTTGCTGGCCTGTTCTTCTCCTGTTTTGGTGACATCTTTCTGGTATTCAAAGAGAATTATTTTATCCATGGTCTCTGTGCGTTTGCGATTGCCCAGTTGATTTACGCCATCAACTTTGGATTCAAGCCATTCAAGTGGTCTGTCTTATTGGTTTTGAGTTTGCTGAGTTTTGCCGTTTACGTTATCCTGTACCCGAGCCTATTTGGTCCCCTGGTCTACCTTGCAGCTGTCTATATCACCCTTCTAGGCTATATGACTTGGAGAGCGATTGCCCGACTACAGTTCTTTGAACGACGATGGACCTGGAGTAAAATGTCAGGATGCTTTGGTGCAGTATTGTTCAGCATTTCAGACCTTTTGATTGGTTTAAATAAATTTGTGTTCCCAGTACCATATGTGCGTGTCATTGTGATGCTGACATATTATACAGCACAGCTGGGGATTGTTTTGTCAGTTGTAGATTACCACAAATGTGATGATTTGAAAAATTGTGTAGATGTCGACACAAAAAGTGATGATGTCAGCAAAAAGTGTAGTCTCAATTTCCACAGTGCAGACAGTCCACTTAAGAAAAACGGCATTAAAGTTGACTGAAAGTGTTTTATTTTATTTCATTTATTTCATGAAAATATTATAGGATATTTTCATAATCTCTAGAACGAGAAGTGTTGACCTAACAATAGATAGAGATAGTACTTGCAAGCAAGCTAATACTATGTGCAAAAATGTAAGCCTAAGTAAGCTTGTAAATTTCTATTGTATGAATATGCATATATTTCTATCAATGACTTTTTGGACTCCAGGACTTTGTGGTAATCCCCAGAACTAATCATGTTTTAGTTAATATTTCTGCATGTTAATTACCTGATTTGCATATATCTGAATGTTTGAAATTCATTACAGACAGAGGTTACCGCATTATTTATTTTACTGATTTATTTGTTTATTTTATATCACCAATGTCTTCTGAACTTTTCGACTATAAATTCTGTTGGTTAGACACCGTACATGTTAAAACATGTTTTTAAATTTTATGAGGGATGTGATTAATTATCTCATTTGCATTTTTAATTGATTTTAGTTGATTCACTATCTCTTTTACTAACTTCCGTCAAATATAACTCAACTTCATCAAAATAATTCTTATGTATGTAGATGTATATATTCCTATTTCATCCTTGGCTTCAGCCTTAACAGGTTCTGAGGTTTGAGGTTTAACGATATTATCATTTTGTTCCTATCACATGTTGTCTGTATTTGGGCCTAAATACATGTGACCCCATATGTTACAATTATGAGTATCTTTACTGGTGTATGTCAACTAGATTATTGGATTTAGCAACATACTTTGGCGTATTATACATCACTTCCGTTTTGTATAGATTTACATTGTATGTTCCCTCATTGATTATTGACGTTATGCCATCGACTAAAATGTGCTTTCTGTTCAATCGGCTTATGTATGCTACGTACATGCTTATAAAATACGTCATACGACTCTCCAATAGTGATCGAATACTTGCCACAGCTGTGGCAACATAAGGCTTGGAACTGATTAATATTCGTGCCCTATTTAAGTCAAATTAGTTCAACCATCAGCGTGAGTTGGCATCTTATTTTCAGTATTGTAATTTTCATCTTGATGTGCAGAACAAGCAGTCCTTGTAAAGTCCCACTCTTGAGATTCCATGCACTGAAATGTTGACTGCTCCAAATTTTGCAATTTTTTTCCTGACTGAAGCACAGTGGTTATTCATCACTCCAAATTTGTTTTCCTGGTTTTGTTTTCCCCCACAGTAGTTTACAGTGTATGCTATGCTGATTCAATTGAGTATTTGCTTGCTTGCCTGTACATTTATCTTGTTGTACTTTTGGGGTTGATGTTTTATTAAGGATCATCTTCTTTGAAATCAACTCCATAATTTATGTACATTTATATATTACATGAATCTGTCATCATTATTTTATGTTTAAAATAATTGCTTGTTTTGTTTCCTATAATATATATATATATATATATATATATATATGTGTATATATATATAATCCCACCCGGTGCTTGTATTTAACAGACTTTCCTTGATCATATGTGTTATTATATTCGACTACAAATTTTACATATTAAATATTATAGAGATTAAAAAGAAAAATTACATTTGCTATATTTATTATAAAAAATACCTCATTATTTGTTTTAACTAGAGAATCAGTGTTTTTTTTGTTTTTGTTTTTACTATGAATTGTCAGAAAAGATATTTTTCTAGTTGTTTTATTTACGCCATAATATGCATGGTAATATGAGTCACACTTATTTCACACCATGTAAACTAGGGGTGTCCTCAGGTTAGGGGAATGCCAGAGATACTAGTAATGTCATACTGTGTTTGGCTTAATTAGTAGCTAGGTTTTATTTTTGTTGACAGCAAGGTGTGCTGAATTGAAACATAGTAAATATTCAAATTTAACAATAAAATGTATTGTTTTCTTCACGAATATTCAAATTTAAAACCTAGTTAATATACACTTATATACTTTCTGGTTTAATGCGCTACAGTCGTCACATAGCACATGTTCTGTGTGAATGAACGATGTTTATTACACGCGTTGTATACGGTCGCTATGCATCCCATATCGAATACGATGCCATGCAAAGACTGCATTGCTTTAAAGTTTTCTTGCCTATGTATTTTTTAGTTCCAGATGACTGTCAAACAATATGCAGTTCTTGTATTTGTTTAGCTTTTATACAGATTCCCGTTTAGTAGCAACACTTGAATAGAAAATGTAATATTTTTTTTTTACAAATATAATTGTTATATATTTATTGAAATATTCATGAGTATTGCCACACTTTTGCAGTGGCTGGTATATTTGAGTTAGATATGGGTACAAAAGTGACAGATTCAATTAAACTGGCAGCGGTTTTGAATTAAAATATCATTGTGTGATTGCAAAGTAAGGCCAAAATATGTTTTAATAAACCTTATTTGTTACATTTATTCTTCTCTATGAAGATATGTACCCGGTACTGTAAAATACTTTATTGTAACTGGAATTAATTTTTGCTGAAAAGAATTTTTGACGAGTTGAATGTAAAAAGCTACATTGGACTTGATTGGATACTGGTACTGGATTTTAATTTCACTGAATAATCCCTTCAGCGAAAATGAATTCCAATGACAATAGAGTATTTTACAGTATTTTAATCTTTGATTTTTTATTGCCATTATTGTTCCTCTTACATTATTACTTTATATCTTGTCATTTATTGAAACGTTTATGTTGTGGTGTTAAGTTTAAAATGTCCATGTTTTTAAAAATACTGAAATTGTTGTATTTTGAGATTTATTTTTGTGGAGCACACATACATAGCCCCTGTGATCTTTTAGATGGGGAATGGATATTTTTGTATCCACTTTACTGTAGGTTAAGGTGCAAAGCTTACAAGTGTATATAAAAAAAATATTAAAATGTGTACTCATTTTCATTGTTACATGTTTTACTCAAAACTGTTGAAAAAAGCTATGTGAGTGTTACACACTTGTGGTGAGCCATATGACGTTTATATGTGTTGCCGTAATGCATTTGTTAATGTTCCTAGTGTATTGACTTCATATTTTTTCAACCCAAAATATAAAGCTGTGTTCTTGATGGAGTTTGTGGAGGGAAATGTCATTTTGTGCTAGGATTTAATTATCAATGCATTATGAGTTATTACAAATCATCGCTATCAGAATTAGAAATTTTAAGATATCAAAGTTCATAATCACACGATAATTACAATTAATAATAATGATTTCAACAAAAAGCTCCTGAATTTAACTAAATTTGTTTAATTTTGATGGTGGTGATTTATAAGAACAATAATGAATCTCCACAGTGTAATTTTGGATTTAAAGAAAGGTATAGACGCGATATTGTATTTGGCTTTGCCTCACACATCATCTTGCCACAGAACCGCTCTGCTCATCAAATATGATTCTGTGGAGGATTCAATATTGTTTAAGTAGATGAGTCATGTGTGCTCAGAAACCATTCTATTAATATCAATGAGCAAAAACTAATAATACATGTAGGACATGTAACTGTGGAAATGTGTAATGCAGCTACAATGCAGATCAAGGATTATGAATAGACATTTACAGTGATAGGCTTCAGGCAAATTCCAAATATGGATAAAATGATTCCTTATTAGGACTTACTGAATTGGTATTTCAGATATGAATTTGAAACTTCCTTCAATATAAGGATCAGAGTAATCCAAATATGGAAAGAACAATATTAGAAAAGTAATAGTTCTGAAAAAAGAAGCTCATATTTGTTAACTTGCATTGTTTTCTCTATAACATTTTCTGTTTGTTTGAGTGGTGTTTAGTTATTTACTTTTTTTCATAGATAAGAGTTAGTTTGTTTTTTGTCACCTTTTGGTGTTCCCAAATATGCAGGATTTGTTTAGACTATTGACCGTGTTGCAGGCCAACGTTTTTCTTGAATGTATTTCCCCATTTAATGATTTACTGTATATATATATTTTTAAAAAGTAAATATATAGCGATTATAAACCTTATAGCTATGTGTTAATTTGAATGTGTTCTGAATCTTTGATATGTATGCATCAGTTATCAGCCCCCTCCCACCCTACACCCCTCCTCCCAACTCTTCAGCTTGGCACAGAATCCAGACTATGACTGGCACAGGCCATAGCCTATGACCTTGGCCCAATGGTGTGCATGTATCAGCTGACTCGCCAGTTTACTGTGTGCATGTCTAAAAATGTAAAGCAAGCAAAATGTGTTGCTGAAATTGTACAAAAAATGGCATATATTTATAATAATATTATGCAAATAGTTGAAATGAATTAATTTCCATGTATATTTTAACATTTCACCCCATGTGCAACCCAAAAGGACATTTTACATGTATCTCTGTATTTCTGGTATTGAGGGAGGGGTCAACTAATGCAATGTGTACGACTATTTTTCTTTCTTAGTTAATTAAAAATATTCTATTATAAACTTTATTTACTACTTTCAATTTGTTTAAGTTTTTATAGTTAAAGCAAACCTATTGTTGGATTGAAACAAACTGTATATACCTTGGTGGCTGTATTCTCTGAATGATGAAATGTTATAGCTGCCTGTATACTTATTTGATTTTTATTCTAGTCCTGATACTGTTATGTTTTTAATTGAATGTACCTAACACAACCTGCTATGGCGTGTCATGCATGTTGAAATGCTTCATTCTGTGGTTACTGAATAAAACTATTATTAAGTAAGTTACCTTGTTGTGTTGTGTTTGTTAGTCTTATTTGTGTTTATTAGACTTATAATTCGGTCTCCGTGCGTCTGTGCGTCCGTCCGGAGTCGTATCTCAGAATCCCTTGGACCGATTTTGTTCATTCTTCGCATGTGCCTAGTACTTTATGTGGGACATATGCACATGCAGTGGTTTAGCGATTCGATTCAAAATGGCCGACTGGCAGCCATCTTGTTTTTTGAAAATGTTGTATTTTGGACATGCTTTGTCAGTTTTCATTCAAACTTGGTACATAGATTATACATGTTAGGATACATGTCCATGACAATTTATTT